CCGTATATATATATATATATATATATATATAAGAAAAGTCTTAAAAACGCCTATAGAGTCGTTACGAACCTATAGATTGTTTAAGGTTGATGTCTTATACAAGCCAGACCAATATAAAAAAAAGGATTATATACAATGAGACCATTTACTTTTTATACAAGGTGGTCACAATTCCTTACAACCATTTGATGTGTGATTTGATAGCTTGGATAAGTTTTAAAGTTCGAGAATTTTTTTTTTGAAGTTTGAGATTGGTCAATGAAGTAATTGCAGCCTTCCAATTTCACATCCATTAGTCAAGATTAATCTATCAAAGGTAAATGATCTCCTTCTATACTTTGCCTTGTAAAAATTTGTTATAGATTAAACATGGCATACATTGAAAAGTCATTGCCTAGGTGATGCTAACAGTCAGTCATGACTCGCAAATAAGACATTTTAACACAGGTGTACATTCTCTTTTGAGGTCATCTCTTTCTAGAGAAAAAGTTGGCATCTTATTTATTATGAGCGGATATACTATACTCCCTTTGAACCATACTGTGTATTTATTCCCTCAATCAAAAGACTTACTTGAGAGAATTTTTCAGTGTGTAATTATGGGAACTAGGAGCCACCTAAAAATCAATAAATGATTATTTCCAAAAAAAAAATTTGAATTTCAAATTTTCTAAAACTTTGATCTCACCCTTCAAAAATTGGATGACATATATTTATTTTTTCTAGTACATGGAGAGTTCGATTGGGAAATGTTGGGTATTGTTATGCACAAGTGACGTGGAGTGATAAAGAAAGCAAGTGCGTGCTTTGCATGTGCCCCGCCTAGATTAATGAATTAAAGTTTTTTTTTTGAGAAAATCAATTAAAGTTTCCCTCATTGGAAGAGAGAGTAGTTGGGTAGTTAGCATTACTCACGTACAGGGTTCGTCATGAGGAGTTGCGGGAAAAGAGTTGAATGCAATTGTATCATTTAACATGCATATTTGGTCATTTGGCCCCATTTAAATCACTTGAACCAAAAGATATAAATGATCCTACTCTGAGTTACAAATATGGAACATGTTCTTTTTTAAGGGTGCGATTTGTATAGAGCCGAGGCTCTAAATAATCAAAGTAGAGCGCACCTTCAAATAATATCGAGAAATGTGGTTTCAATTCTGAAAATCTTTGTGATAGCCTTAAAATATAATTTCATCACTAATTATAACATTTAAAGCTTCAAAAATATTTTAGAACAGGCACATCTATGAAAACTTAAAAATCTTGAAAATTGACGGTCAAAAATGCATTACAAGATGCATTATTTGCAAAACTTGAAATCCATTTTCTTATGTTCATGGATCTTGATGTCGAAATGATCAATTTGAGTATATTTGGGCATCAAAACAACTTTTTTTAGTGAAAATTTTGAAGTGCACTCTAGTTTGATTGTTTAGAGCCTCGGCTCTATATAAACTTAAAGCTTTTTTTTTAAAATAAAATTGAAGTATTTCTAGTGGCCAAATTACTAAAATGTCTTCACTTATTTAGGGTTCCAAGAATTAAAAGGGTTTTGGGCATTTTCTAACAAAATAGTTGAAGAGCCGTTTAAGTGAAATGCAATAGGATATAGTAGGATTTCATCTCATGTCTTTCCTAGAGTTTCAAACATTATTTTGAAAATAAAATATTCATAACTTGAAATTTTAATAGAATATGTGGATGTTATAAAGAAGGCATTTCCAAGGAAAATTTCGAAATTCCAATTATTTTATCATGGTATAAGTCAGCAAAAAATAAATCCTTAATTAAAAATCATGTTAAATTTTATAAATTAGAGAATTGAGCATTGATAAGTCGTCTAATTTGATCATTTATAATGTGATTCTCAATAGCACAACAGAAAACTAACAAATGCCGCAATTTATTTCCTCTGCTCAAACTTCCAAGTTGTTTGAACCCAGTTTTGTTTAAAATTTCAGAGGCAGAACCTCCTTACAATCAGTCGACAACTTAAGCCTTCCAAAGTTCGCAACCAAACTCATTTCAAATCTCCTACGGAAAGAGCTGGATTGGAATTTCACAAAAGTCACATTACCATTCCTCCGTCAATGGCGAAAACCTGCACAAAACATTTCAATACTCTCATTCTGATCAATAAAGAAGTGGATAAGAAGCATGAGATATGTCATGCAAACCTGTCCTGTGATATAGCTTGCAGCTGGATTCAAGGCTAAAAATTCTACCAATCCAGCTACTTCCTCAGGTTGTCCATATCGTCCTGTATAAACATATCACAACATGAAATTTGGCAATTATGAATCAAGAAATATTTCGCTTGATTGAAAATGAAGATTATAGTGGTCATAATATTAGATTGGATGACGAATCCAATCAACAGGAGAGAGACTCACCCAAAGGAATGGTCTCCAGGATTTTCTTCTCGATGTCATCTCCAAGTTTGGCTGTCATATCAGATGCAATGAACCCAGGAGCTACTGCATTTGCCTTGACAAAGAAAGGCCTTAAAAGTGTCAGTTATAAGCTGTTATTACATAACTGCATATCTCTAGGATATGTAAGAGAGAGAGAGAGAGTGAGAGAGAGAGAGAGAGAGAGAGAGAGAGAGAGAGACGTA